AGGAAGGAAGGAAGGAAGGAAGGAAGGAAGGAAGGAAGGAAGGAAGGGGAAGCAGAGTTATAGGAACTCTTTCCTCACCTGGTCTATCTCAAAAAGCTGGCAAAACATGACAGCCTCCAACATATCCAAATAAAATACAAACCTGAGAGTCCTTGAGATAAGTCCCAGTTGTGAAAGCAAAGAAGAGGAAAAGAGAACAAATGAAATAAGGATAAAGGATAAATGGTTAAGATTGCCCCTTTAACTGTCCATCTTCAAATCAGAAGCTCAAGCAAAGCCCACATATTGGGTTTCTAGTTATCTTTGCCAAAAACAGGTGGCTGTTACATTTTTATGCTGTACATTTGTTATAGGGGAAAAGCATTCTTATAGCAGAAATTAGCCAAGAATGAAATCTGGGCAACTCTGTACGAGAACCACAATCTCTTGGAACCATCCTTTTTTCTCTCTCTCATTATAATTTGACTGGTTTGCAAGTTTTATAGACCGCATATATCTCAAACCGAGTCCAATTGGCAGCTGTGGACAATTGTTAAGTATTGGCTAAATAATGGGAAGGTGAGAGAGGAGCTTATATTTCCAACTAATTATGGAGATGGAGAATAGACGCCAGAATCCCAGTGAAAGGAAAGGCACCATCTATTATCCGACTTTCTTTGGATGGCTGCTTAATAAAGACATTTATTTGCAGAACGTTATTCAATAGGGGTGTGGGGAGAAGCTGTCATTATTTTCTCACCCTAGGAAGCTGATAGACTCAGTTGCCTACTAAGAGTTGGGATTTTAAACATGAATGCTGAACATCCAAGTTTAAATGTTATATTGCAGCCCAATGTCAGATCCAGAGAACCAGGAATGACACCATAAATAGCTCAAAGTAGTTCCTTTATTGCTGTTTGCTTGTAAGCAGGAATCTTGCCAGACTAAAGTACTCTTTGAATAACTGCCATGCCCCTGTCAGAGTCTGAATCCTAGGAGGAAGACGAATAGTTGACAGGGAGTGGGGATGTGGCTCCGTTGGCTGTGGAGGAAACTAGGGAAGGGCAAAGTCTGGCTGGGCAGAGCAGGAAAGAGGTAGAACAAGGGAGAGGGGTAGAACAAGGGAGAGGGAGTTCAGAGGAAGACCCAGGCCCACCCCCTCTTTATCCTAGGGCATGCAGGGAGGAACGGAGAAGAGAGCAACGTGGGTTCCGTGGCATGGGGGAGGAAAGGGCTCTGATTCCCTTCATTAGCTGCAGCTGGGAACACAGTGTATAAAAAGGGGAAGCTGTGTGCAGCAAGCTGTTGGGAGCAAACGTGAATTTATCTTGTATCATCGTGGCTCATCTGTGTTCCTGGCATCTTCCCAACTGTGTGACACAAAGAAGAGGGGGTCAAGTTATGTTCTGAAGCCCCAGAAGGCAAGACAAGAAACAATGGGTGGAAACTACATGAGGAGAGAAGCAACCTGGAACTAAGGAGAAACTTCTTAACAGTGAAAACAATTAACCAGTGGAATAACCAGAAGTGCTCCATTATTGGAGGCTTTCAAGAACAGACGGAGAGCCATCTGTCTGAAATGGTATTGTCATGCCCCTGTCGGAGTCTGAATCCAAGGAAGATGAACAGCTGACAGGGAGTGGGAGTGTGGCTCCATTGGCTGTGGAGGAAACTGCGGAAGGGTAAAGTCCAGCTCGGCAGAGCAGGGAAGAGGTAGAACAAAGGAGAAAGGAGTTCAGAGGAAGACCCACCCCCTCTTCATCCTAGGGCATGCAGGGAGGAAAGGAGAAGAGAGCAACGTGGTTGCATGGCTTACGGGGGAGGAAAGGGCCTTGATTCCCTTCATTAGCCACACCTGGGAATGAGAGTTTAAAAGAGTTGCAAGCTGAGTGTGGCATCTGCTGGGAGCAAACGTGAGTTTATCTTGTATTGACTTTGGTTATCTGTGTTCCTGGTGTCCTCCCACCCGTGTTGAGTTATTGTCGTGCCTTCACGTCTGGAATTCCTTTTCCTGCCCTGCCGGACTAATTACCTCATTTTGCCTTGATTGGACTTATAGTTACAGTTTTTGTTGACCATGTTTTGGACTTGATTCTCTGCACATTGTTCTTGGGAGAGTTTTTCTCTAGCCCAGAAGGTAACCAGGACATTGGAGGCCAAGTTGGAGCTACTAAAGGGACTCCTACTGATTATCTGACTGTGTTGCTTTTGTGCCACGCCCGGGGTGATCACAATAACTATTAGATAAATACTATGAAGATTTATGGTGGGATCCCTTTGGGGTCTCTTTAAAACCTGCCAATGAATTATGCAACTCAGCACCAGATTCCACCATATCCAATCAGTATTGTGTAGGGATATTGTTGGTTTTATTGTTGGTTTTGTGTCTATGGAGATTCTCAGTCATCCAGGTCATGGTTGCCCCAAAGGTGCATTTAGTTCTGATGTGTTAGGAGATACAAACCCATCAGATACGTAGGAGAACAAACCCATCAGGACAAGATTCACTAGTCCACCTGCAGTTAAAAGACAAAGGCTGCTCTTTTGAAGACAACAAAGTCCACATTTTGGACAGAGAGACCTGCTAGTTTGAAAGAAGGATCAAAGAGGCCATCGATGTCAAAACTGAATAGTCCTCTCTCAACAGAAGAGGAAGGATATGACATCATCTGTCTTCAGTCCACAACACAGTCCTTTCAGCCGTTCCAAGAAGGCTCCGCAACAATTCGTTCTATCACAGTTTTGTTCACTTATTTTTGTATGTATCCCAGTTTTGAACCATAACAATAAAGATTTGATTTGATTTTGATTCGAGGAGGTTAAGCTTCCTCTCAGGAGATGTTCCCTGAGTTGGACTCCAGTCCCCATTATCCTCAACCAGTGTATCCACAGGCATCCGGTCGATGAAAAGGGTGGGTGAATGTCCTCTTTTTCATCCTGCAATTCCTTTCTCCGGGGTTTAGCTAGCTTCCCTTCAATCCCAAGGGAGATCTCTGAGTTTGAACTATTTTTTTTTCTTAGAAGAGCACCTTTTAAGAGTGTTTGGGGGAGGAAGATTACTTTGTTATACTTCATAATATCTGAGATATTAGTGCTTTGGGAGAGTCATTATATGGAGCCTTAAATGTGATTTTTATGGGAGGCTTTATAAAAGGCTCTCGAGTCGGGGACATGCTTTGCATACAAAAGGCTCAAAGTCAGTCTTTAGCAAAACATTCCTGAATACATATATACATTTAAAGGGGGAGAAAAGAGAATCACACAGGAAATAACTTGTAATAGTTGTGAGTTACATGCTGTGTGTTTGTGTGTGTATATGCGTGCACGGGTATCTAAACTTCCCCCTACCCCTCACAACCTCGTGATTTGCTTTCCTCATGCAGTCTTTTATTCTTTTCATTTTGATAGGTTAATATTTGCATCCTTATTGCCGTGACCAGAGTAATTTCAAGAATAAGTGCTGAAAATTACAAGGTCCATGGAGAGGCTAATGCGTTCAAGTAAGTTGGCTTTCCTTTCCTTTTTTAAATTTTATTATTATTATTATTAGCAGGAATTTAAACTCCCAAGAACATTGGAACTGCTACTGAATGCTGAGTCCAGTGTCATAAAATCTGTTTTTTTTTTTTTTTTTTTAAAAGGAATTGTGTTCTGAATCAAGACTGGATGGATTCTGCAGCACTGTTTATCTAATCCCAAAGGATTATCGCTGTTTATCTAATCCCAAAGGAGAAGATAACATCCAGTCTTGTGAAGATCACAGGCATTAAAAATACATCTGAATGTCCAGTAAAGTTGGCTGTTGGGCACTTTTTGAAAAATAGACATTAGGCAGAGGGTTAAAAATTGGGATCTCGCTCGTCCAAGTAATACTCCTGGGATTATTTTGTAAACAGTATTTGAATTTCACAAGCAATTCCTTTGCTGAGTGCTAAGCAGAAGGAAAGTATTTCCTTCCTTCCTTCCTTCCTTCCTTCCTTCCTTCCTTCCTTCCTTCCTTCCTTCCTTCCTTCCTTCCTTCCTTCCTTCCTTCCTTCCTTCCTTCCTTCCTTCCTTCCTTCCCTTTTCTTCTCCTTTCTTCTGTTGGAAGGAAAATCCAGTCCTGTTCCAAGCCAGGGGAAAGGTGCTGGAAAGAAAAATGGAAGCTGACTGCAAGGAAAGAAAGTTTATTTGGTTTCCAGAAACTTTAATGACAGAAACAGGTTTCTGGGGTGACTGACAAAATGGCTGAGTGAGTGGATGGATCTTTACAGGGTTCTGAGATGCTCCAGGGGTTTGTGCAATGTTGTGAGCCTTGTGTCTTTTGCTATTTTAATGATGGTGGGTTAACCCTATTATGTTCTAAAGGTCCTGTCCTGTCGTTTAGAATTTGGGAAAAGGAATGTAAATTCTTAATCCCATCAGCTCCAGCCTTCTGGTGGAGCTTGTGGCTGAAGGTGTTTTGTTTATGAATAGGATGGACTAGTCTTTCTGAATGGATACCAAATCTGCAATTCCTAAAGGTCAATTTGAAGCTGTTTTCTCTATGGCAGGAAGACTGGGGTTGCTTTCTGCCTTTGTTAAGATTTTTATCAATTTCTCCTTTCCTCCTTCTCCAATTCTAGGCTGCCCCTTTTTAATTTTAAGAATAAAGAATATTTTAATTTGGGGAGGGAGGTTTCCTATACTTTTCTTTCTTCTCTTCCTCCTCCTCCCCCCATTATTCTCTTTTGGCTCTCCCTTTCATCCTTCTTTCTTCTCCTTTCATTCTTCTCTTCTTCAATTCTTCTCTGCCTTTCAACCTTTCTTCTCCTCTTCCTCCTCCTCTTCTCATTAATCTCTTTTGCCTCTTCCTTTCATCCTTCCTTCTCCTCCTCCTCCTCCTTTCATTATTGTTCTCTTCTTCCTTCTATCCTTCCTTCCCTTTCATTCTTCCTCCCCACCTAAGAAAACTATTCAGCCTTTGGAACCTGTCAATCTTCCATCTGCCTTGCTTCTCTCATTTGGTATTTGCCATGACAGAAATTTGCAAGATTCATCAGGTGCATTTATAGACCGGGAATGCAACAATAACCTTCGCTCTTGATTAGAACAGCATGAGGTATTTTTAGCCCTTTAGGACAGGTGACACAAGAAAATGAACTTGAAACTAAAAATAAGCAGCAACTGGGCACTAATATTTTCTCCCTTCATTCTTGCAAGAGAGACAGTCCTAGATAATTTCTTATCTCTGCTGAAGAATGCTTGCTTGCTGTAGTAAACCCGAGGACAGGGACTGGAGTACATAATGCATATTCATAAATGGATACTCAATGTGCATTATCAGTTGAGCCAATCGGGACTACAAGGATTTATGTAACTTACAGCTCCTTACAGAAAGTGGTTAATAACACAGCTTGTGATTCCAGTTGGCAAGCACCAAACCGGTATGTTGTACACAAATTTGCCCATGTGTGCTGAAGGACCCTGGAGATGAAGTTTGTTGGCAGCAAGACTATTTGCTGGAGAGCAATTTTGCCTTGTTGCAGCTGGCAAGAACAAATTGGTGTAATTGTTGCCAATAGTTTTCCCTGGCACACAGGGTGTTGAGCCTGTGCTCATTCGATTAATGGCATATTGAAAGTGAGCATCAATCTGGCCTTATCACTGCTTACCGATTGGATCATCTGAGCCCGCTAAGCAAATTCTGATTTCCATAGGACACTAAGCATTTATTTATTTATTTATTTAATTTATTTATTTATTGTATTGCGAACGGTTGCTGGGGTGCATCCACAGTTTCGTTGTACTTGTACAATGACAATAAAGTTCTTCTAATTCTAATTCAAAGACTTTACTCATAAGCGAGTACCAGAGATTATTTCATTTGCTTCCGTTGATGGGTCATGCCTGGTGGATGAAGGTTGTAGAGCCAACACCCGTTTTCTATTCAAGGATGGTAGGTTAGTTTGTTGGATTGTTGTTTGCATTGGTGTAAAACGCACTGAGGCACTTCTGGGTTGAAAGGATTAGCTGGTTGCCTTGGGAATGCCCAACTGGGGGCTCTTTTCATGTGCCTGGCAGGAGCTAGAGTGAAGGGCGGGAGCTCAACCCTGCCCACAGCAACCCTTGGGTCTCAAACGTGGGCTGGCTCACCACCTGCCCCAGCGTTCCAAGCACTCAAACCACTTTGCCATGGTGGTGCCGTGGTTAGAAGCAGTACTGCAGGCTGCTTCTACTGACTGCCAGCTGCCTGCAGTTCGGCAGTTCAATTCTGACCGGCTCACGGTTAACTCAGTCTTCCATCCTTCTGAGGTTGGTAGAATGAGGACCCAGATTGTTGGCGGCAATAGGCTGACTTTGTAACAGCATAGAGATGGTTGTAAAGCACCATGAAGTACTATATAAGTATTCTTGCTATTGTTCTTTCTTTTCCCCTTCCTTCCTTCCTTCCTTCCTTCCTTCCTTCCTTCCTTCCTTCCTTCCTTCCTTCCTTCCTTCCTTCCTTCCTTCCTTCCTTCCTTCCTTCCCTCTCTCCATCTCTCCCTCCCTACCTCCCATCCATCCATGGTATGCAGTGGTTAGAACACAGTATTGCAGCCAAACTCTGCCCACTGCCAGCAGTTTGATTCTCACTGGCTCATGATTGTCTCCATGTTCCATCCTTCCGAGGTTGGTAAAATGAGGACCCAGATTGTTGGGGGCAACAGGCTGACTCTGTAAACTTCGTAAAGAGGGCTTTAAAGCACTGTGAATTGGTATATAAGAGTATTGCTATTGCTCTTCCTTCCTTCCTTCCTTCCTTCCTTCCTTCCTTCCTTCCTTCCTTCCTTCCTTCCTTCCTTTTCCTTCCTTCCTTCCTTCCTTCCTTCCTTCCTTCCTTCCTTCCTTCCTTCCTTCCTTCCTTCCTTCCTTCCTGTGCAGTGGTTAGAATGCAGTATTGCAGACTAATTCTGCCCACTGCCAGGAGTTTGATCCTGACCAGCTCAAGGTTGACTCAGCCTTCCATCCTTCCAAAGTCAGTAAACTGAAGACCCAGATTGTTGGGAACAAGAGGCTGACTCTGTAAACCACTTAGAGAAGGCTGGAAAGCTCCGGGAAGCGGTATATAAGTCTAAGTGCGATTGCTAGTTGCTTCTCAAAGATGGTAGTAAATATATGGGGTAGAGATTTCCTTTCTCTGCCAAAAGAGCTCAAGGTCTCCAAATGGAAAATAAAGGAAGCACCTGGGTTGCAAAATGTGTTCAAAGCATTTCTGCTGACTCTTCCTTTGAGACAAAATTGCTCTGCAGTTCTGTTATTTGCACGCTCTGGTTTTAAGCTTGGTATCTTTGCCACCGTTACTTAGGAGACTCTAAAGCTGCAACCAAATGTTGTGCGTATATAGGGAGTTCTCGACTTACAACGGTTCATTTTGTGCCATTTGAAGTTACAACAGCACCGGTGCTGGGATTCAATTTTTTTTTTTTTTACTGGCGGTTCTGCGGACGTGGCTTGGTGGGCATGGTAAGGGAAGGATACTGTAAAATCTCCATTCCCTCCCCACTCCACTAACCTGATTTCCAGCTCCGTTCTCCTCTGCAGGGCAACCAAAGGAGACCCAGCCAATCAACTGGGACTCAATGGGAGTCAGGGAATAGATGGGGGTGGGGCCAGTTAGAGGCGGTATTGGCCGCTTCTCCAAACTATTCAACATTTCCGCTACCGGTTCTCCAGAACTGGTCAGAACCGGCTGAATCCCACCTCTGAACAGCACTGAAAAAAGTGACCCGGGACTGTTTTTCCGCACTTCTGAATCACACGATCAAGGGATCACATGGTCCCAGGGCCAGCATCTCAGGGCCATGTGAACCCCACTTGCGGTTTACCCATCTGCCAAGTAAAACCAATGGGGGAAGTTCAGATTCGCTTAAGGACGGCCTGATTCACTCAACAACTGCCGTGATTCGCTTAGCAACAAAGCGGTCGTAAAATTGGGTGCCCCTCACTTAACAATTGCTGTGCTTAGCAACGGAAATTCTGCTCCCAATTGCGGTCGTTAAGGCGAGGACTACCTGTGTGCATAGCCTCCCCGTCAGCTCTTGAAAGGGATAATTGGTGCCTTCGGGAAGGACGGGAGGTTTGGTGGATCTGTCTCCCACCTTGAGTTGGTGCGTATTATTTGTCCTGCCTGGCAGAAGCTCATTAACGGCTTCTCGATAAACTGCCAGGGCCAAGCCTTACGGGAAGATTTTGTTCATCATTGCCTCCGATGTGGTCTAGTGGTCTGGAAAAGTCAGTATCATTTCTCCAGTACATGCAGTCTCCGGAATATTAGCTGAGGAATCCACAATGAGATTTTTCATGAATAAGTGGAGAGAGAGAGAGAGAGAGAGAGAGAGAGAATAAGAGAAAGAGAAAGAGAGAGAGAATGACGGAGAGAGAATGAGAGAGAGAATGAGAGAGAGAATGAGAGGGAGAGAATGACAGAGAGAATGAGAGACAGAATGAGAGACAGAATAAGAGAGAGAATGAGAAAAAATGAGAGGGAGAGAATGACAGA